CGGGAATAAGCGGTGATTGCTTACTCTTTCGGGTCATGCAAAGTCAAACAAAGCTAAGAAAAACGTTAGCAATGACTATCAAAAGTTAAACACACATAAACAAAAATTAAGGTAAGAAAACTACTATACATATACATACATCTAGTCTCATTCAACAATAATACATTCAATGTGACTTTGCCTCCCCGGCAACGGCGCCAAAATTTGATAGGCCGTCGTCGAGCCTACCAAAGATAATAATTCCTATCTTGGTCTCACTAACAATAGTAAGGGTAAGAAAGGGTCGAACCCAAGAGAGGCGTTGAATCAACCACCGAGTACTATCATTTAAATAAGCTAAATGAAGTCTAAATCGGGTTGGTTTTGAGTAACTTCTTCTAATTCAATTCAACTAAAGCTAAGAGGAGATTAACAATATTAAGAGGAATCTAGGGCTCGGGTTATACCACTCAATTTCATCACAAATCACAATTAGCATGCAACAATCAAGGTAAATTAATGGGATAAATTAGAGGAAGTCATCTAAGGCACCCAACTACTCTCTCAAGCTAGAGGGATTACTTGAATCATGAATACAACCTACTCTCGTGGTTACAAAGCATAAAACAAGTGTTAAAGCAAAATCACGATGACATAAACATTCCCTTGACCAGAAATTCCTATTCTCATGGCATTTCGGGTCAATCAAGCATAAGGGAGCTAACTCAAGTTCATCTCTCGATCCTTCGTTGAGGAAGCTTGGATAAATAGTTCTAGTAATGGCCATATACAAGAACTAAGCAATTAAACCACTTAAGCTCAACTAATTAACATCCCACAACAACCAAATTAGCACATGCAACAAGTAATTAGTGACTACATTGAGGGTTTTGCCCAAACCCTAGAACTTGGACTACTCACAATCCATGGAGATTAAAGCAATTAAAGATTTCAAGCAATTCATGAGCAAGTTCAAACTAAGGATTAAGCTAATTAACAATCTAAACATGCAAGAACTAGCAAATAATTGACAACAAAGTAAAGAGAAGTAGAAAAGATGAGTAAGAAATGGTTACTATGAAGCTTCAAGGTGAGCAACAATGGTGGACTTTGTCTTCTACAATGATTGAATTTGAATAATTCCAAGCTAATAATTAAGAACTAACTAATGATTTGAGAATTTAATGTTCTAAGATTGAAAAACTAAGAGAAAGCTCTAAAAACCTTGCTTCCCCCGTACAAATGAGCTGTAAAGGGGTATTTAGATGACCCCCAAATAAAAAGGACGGAGAAAACGAGGAAGGAGTTCGACTGCAGGTCTGCACGGACGTGCCAGATTTGGCACGAACGTGCAAGGCTCAGCACGGCCGTGCCAAGTTTGGCACGGACGTGCAGGAGGTCCAAAATGGAGGCATAAGCTTCTGCCAAGGTCTGCACGGACGTGCAGCTTTTGGCACGGACGTGCTATCATCTTGCAGTTCCGTGCAGAATGCCCTACCTAGACTGCTTATCTTTGGGAAGCTGTAACTTCTACGTTTCTTGTCGAAAATGGACTTGTGACCAGTCGTTGGAAAGCACTTGAGACGAAATTTAATCTCCAATTTGAATCGCTTCAAAAGGTTGAGAAGATCAAAAGTTATGGTTGGTTGAAGTTGACGCTTACGCAAACGACCTTTCAAGGTTCTCCAAAAGCTTTTCATTTCCCTTTAAGGCATTCCTCCTTCTTCCTCCATGGCTCTATCAGCGCCAAGCTTGCCCTTATGCTTGCTCACTCATGCTTGATCACGTCCATAGTGCTAAAAATTTGCATAAAAATAGGATAAAAAATGAACTTTGATGTTGATTAATAACAAAAACAAGGTTCAAAAGTACCCTAAAATCATGCCAAATAACAAGTTATCACATACCTTGCATGCCAAGTTGCATGCTTTCCATTTGATCTTGCATGGTTTCCAAGTCTTGTATGTAGCCTTGTTGTTGTCGTCGTCTTCCTTGTTGATGTTGTTGTTGTTATTGTTGTTGCATAGGAGGAACCACTTCTTCCTCCTCCTCCTCCTCTTCATCCTCATCATCATCCTCCTCTTCATCCTCATCATCATCCTCCTCTTCATCCTCATCATCATCCTCCTCATCACCATCCTCATCCATTCTTATCGAGAGGACATCGTTGTCCTTCCTCACCCACCATGGAATGCCAACTCCATCCCTAGTAATAGAAGTGAACTCGGGCTTCGGGAGGAGACAATGGTGCTTAATTAAGTGCAACGAGAAAGCTAAATACCCTTCCTTTATCCTCAGTGTCCGCAATGAACCTCATTGTCTTGAGTTGCTCGATATTAAACCAAATATCATCACCATCACTACCCCCAATGGGGGTGCAAGAACGAGGCTTATCCTTATGACCCAACTTTTTCGCCAATTTAGTGATCATGGCAGCACAATGGATCTCACCCGTCTTCTTTCTCGAAAGAATAGACTTGATACACTTGATAAAAAGGAAACCAAAATTTACCCTATGTCCCAAATCCGGTCGAGTAGCAACCGGTCGAGTAGCAAGCTATAGAATTCGGATCTCTTCGGCGGTTATCTTACCCAAATCTTTCTTATTAAAAACCATATACCTAAGAATCTGATGTAAGAGGCGAAGAGCGGGGTGCATGATCTCACTTGCCAAAGAATATTTTGCATTGAAATCATCTTTGCTCAAGATACTCTTCCGCTACACAAGGGGGTTATAATCAATGAAGGTTTCATGCTTGGGAAAGAGGAGATCGGTGTCGGCATTTAGGTCAAGAAATTGTTTGAATTATTGGAGGTTCATTGTTTCTGTTTTATTGAAGAGTTGAAAGGAGATGGCAAAGTCTTTGTCCCTTACGGCTCGGGCTTCAAAAGAAGCAAGGAATTCAAGTGTAGGCTCACGGTAGGTTCGATAAGAACTAGTCACAAAAGAACCTATCATCAAGTTGTTGAATAGAAACCAACAATCCTCATCAATGCCAAGCTTTGTGGTGGTTTCTTGGTAATAGTTTTTGGAGGGGCGAAGATGACGAGATAACAAATTCTCGTAAATGGGTTTGTGGTTTTTGTTGTTGAATTTTAGTGGAGGCAAGGGAGGTGGTGGTTGCTCATCATTTTCTAGGGTGGAGCTTTGTGAGGTGGAACCTTGTAGCTCCTTTCCACTCTTTCTCTTCTTAGAACCAAACACCATTGTTCAATCAGCAACAAATTCAATCAACACAATTCCAAATTCAAGAAAAAATCCCACTTGCTTTACAATGCTTCACAAACAACACACTTCTACTAAATCCACCAAGGTATCAATTCAACACAAATCAATCCAAAATTAACCACCAACAGCCACAAAAATCAACCAACAAATCAACAATCAACCAAGAATTATCCAATTATTCCATAACAAACATCCATTCAAGCATAAAAAATCACCAAATAATACCACAAGATTTTCAATTCAATCACCAAAAACAATGCTCATAAATAAAATAAAGCTAGAGAAGTAGTGATTATACCAACAAATTGTGACCAAGAGCAACTTCAAACTAGCTTCAAGAACAAATACCACAAGTGAGCTCCAAGCACCGTCAATGGCAAACCGCAAGAAATACGGACCAATATTGAAGTAAAAATGGTGAAAGTGATGATTTTTAATGGAGATTGAATGAAATATGTAAGAGTTTGAGTGAAAATTGGTAGGATTTTGATGAGTTTGGGAGGTTAGGGTTTGAGGGAAAGGGGTTTTCTAGAGAGAGAAAGGGTGAGCAATCGAAAAAATTGAGGAAATGAGGCTCGGCAAAGTGAAAAATCGGGTTTAAGAAACCCAGATCGCCGCGCCCGTGATCGTCTAGGCCGCGCCCACGGTATGCAGGGCCACACCTTCTCCTTGCCCACGGCGTGGCATCTACAGGAACATTGAGAAGTTCTGAAAATGGCCCACCGCGGCCTCTCCTCCCCTGGTCGCACCCGTGGTAACCTAGAGAGGGCTCTCCTTGGGCGCGACTCTTGCATTGAACCTTGAGAATGACTTTTCGACTTCTTCTTTCATCTTAACCCAATTCTTTGCTCTTGGAAACATTTTCATTAAGAACCGAATTCCCTCAAATCTTAATCCACAAATTCAACACCCAAAGTTTAAATTCCTGCGACACATAAGACAAACAAAAGAACGTACGAAAATAACCATGAGAAAATCAACTAAAAACGACCAAATAAAGATGAAATAATAGAAAAGAAGGGGTTAAGAACTCGAGTTGCCTCCCGAAAGCGCTTGTTTAGGGTCTCTAGCTTGACCCTTCACCTCTTTCAAGGTGGATCGAAGGATACCACCTTCTTCAACTTAGAGGTGGAAGTAGCATGCATGCCCCTAAGCTTGGGCAAGAATACATCTTGTAACATCTCTCCATCACAAGGGAAAAGTGGGGGCGTTTTGGGGACCCAAACTTTCTCAATTTTCTTTTTCATCTTTTTATTGTTGTTGTTGATTCTTTTCTTCTTCTTTCGCTTCCTTAAGCACTTTTGAGAGGAACAACTCCTTGCATTCTCCATATTGGGAGGGATAACCTCACCCTCCTCACGTGAGTCTTCAAACAAGGATGATATTCCTACCAAATGATCCTCATTCATCATAGCACCTTGGCCACCTCCTTAGATTTCTTGAAAGGGGGCTTAGGATTCTTCTTCAGTCCCTTCTCTTTTTTGTCAAATTATTCCTCTTGAGGGGGACCTATCGCATCCACTCTACAAACCTTCTCCACCATGGAATTCTTAAATACCTTGGAAAATTCAAACATCGTCTTTTCATCGGTAACTTCGCAAGTGATAGTGTTGTTCTTACAATTGATCACCGCTCCCAAGGTCTTAAGAGCCTCTCAATCCAATATCAAAGGTGTATAGTCATATTCCTCCATGTCCATGACAATAAAATCACAAGGAACATAGATTTGTCCCACTTGAATGGGAACATCCTCAAGCTCTCCGCATGACAACTTTACCGATCGGTTGGCAAGCTAAATTGCCTTCCTTGTAGGGATCATTTCAATGTTGAGTTGTTGAGCAATGGAAAATGGAATTAAACTTACACTTGCTCCAAGATCGGCCAAGGCACCCTTTGCTTCCAAATTCCCAATCTTAATCGGCAAAGTAAATCTCCCGGGATCTTGTTGCTTCTTGGGCATCTTATGTTGCACTAGAGCACTAACTTCAAAAGGAAGAGTGACAAGATCTTCATCGGTCTTCTTTTTGTTGGAAATAATTTCCTTGAGAAACTTTGCATAGGAAGGCATTTGTGTGTTTGCCTCAAGGAAGGGAATATTGATGTGTACACCCTTCATCACCCTTAGAAACTTCACAAACTTCTCATTCAACTTCATTTCCGCTAGCTTACCGAGAAAGGGCACCAATCCATCAAGAAACCTACCATCAATAGGGGGTGAAGGTGTCTTCTTTTCGTGGGGTTTGTTTTTCTCAATGCCCTTTTCCATCTCAACATCCCCATCCTCAACAACCTCTTTCTCACTTCTCTTCTCGTCACTAACCCTCTTCTTTGGATCATCATAGGTGGTTCCCGACCTTAAAGTTATAGCTTTACAAAACTCGGTTTTGTAAGTATGTGAGGGGTTAGAATTTGGTTGACCGGGAAGTGTAGATGGCGAATTGAAGGATGACCTTTCGGCCAATTGGGCAATTGGGAGTCTACCATTTTGTTATGGGCTTTGACTTCTTGTATTTGTTGGTTATGGTTTTGGATTAGTTGGCCAAAAGCTTGAAGTTGTTAGCTCATGGTTTGAAGGAGTTGGGTTTGGGCTTGGTCGATTTGTTGCGGGGTTTGGTCATGGTGTTTTTGAGGGAATTGGTTTGGACAGGGGTATTTGTTTTGGTTTTGTCTTGGATAGTTTCCTCCTTGATTTTGGTTTTGGTTATAGAGTGGAGGTTGGTTTTGGAATTGGGAGTTTAAAGGTGGTTTATTTGGTTGGTTCCATTGTTATGGTTGAGATGAAAAACCGAGGGGTGGTTGCCTCCAAGCAACTCCAACTCCATTGCCCCTAAAACCATCTTGCCTTGAGTTTAAGGCCGCCACATGTTCGCGGTTCGAACCCCCACAATATGATGTATCATGGTTCTTACCTCCACATATTTCACAAGAAAAGGCATTGACTTGTGAGGAGCTAGAGAAAACATTTCCACTAGAGCTCAACTTGGCTACGCAAAAGCTCCACTTGATGTTAAAGTTGATCAAGCTTCTCCAACTTATCCTTTCTTCCCTTCTCAAGAGTAGTTCTTCTTCTACTTCCCCGTGAATAGTTCTTGGTCACCTCCTCAATTGTTGCTTCAACCTGGTTTTGGGGTATCTTGATTAATTGTCCACCCGCCCCCGCATCCAAGTTTGCTCTATACATAGGTTCCAAATCATCATAGAAGAAACGCATAAGCAAGCTTTGATTGTATTCATGGTGAGGACATGCTTGTACCAACTCTTTGAACCTTTGCCAAGCTTCACTAAGGCTCTCATCCACTTATTGCTCAAATGATGCAATCTTTATCCTCATTGCAGCTGTCTTCTCTTTGGAGATGAACCTCTTCAAGAATGCCTCTTTTCTCTAGCGATAGTACTATGTCTACTGAGGAACACTTAGTTAGATTCAATTGTTAGTGCAGAGAGGCGGTAGATAATGAATTCCTTAAGCTTAGGATGTTTTCCAGTTCTCTTACTAGCACTGCATTCTCTTGGTTTACTCACTTACCACCTAACTCAATCCAAAATTGGCAGGATATGCAAACACAATTCCTTCGCCACTTCACTAGAGTTGAAGCAAGGGTCACTATAGGTTATTTGGCTAAGATTGCACAGGAAAAATGAGAACCATTTGGAGATTACATTCATAGTTTTAAAAATGCTAAAATTATATGTCACTTGAACATACCCGAATCAGAGTTTGTGTCTATTATCCAAAAGGGTCTATCTTTTCCCTTTAGGAAGAAGTTTGAAGGGTAATATTATCCTGATTTTGTTGCATTGTCTGGCGTTATGATGGCTTATGAAAGGTGTCTAGAAGAAGAGTCTAGGTGTAAACATAAGTATTATGCTAGCATGGCCGAAGAGTGTGATCAGGAAGAAGACGTGTATGAGGCAGCAATAGCTGAATTTGTGCAAGCTCCTTCATTTAAGTGTCCACCTTTAACTAACAAAAAGTTCTCTTATAAGAAAGACCTAAAATTTGATCAAAAAAGAGAATATACCATTAATATTAGGAGGTGTGATGAAATATTTAATTGGTTATTGAGTCATAAAAAGATTAAGTTAGCAGGGAGACACAAAACTAGAAGTCTTGAAGAGGTTAAAGGAAAGAACTACTATAAATGGCATGATGCTTTTACTCATAAGACTAGCGATTGCATAATATTCAGAAACAAGATTCGGGATGAGATAGATAAAAAAAAATACATAAATTTCCCTGATGAGAAAGTTAGCTCTTGTGAATTAGAGTTAGAATATGCATTAGAGTCTAAAGTCTATGAAATGAATTGTTTTATGGTAAGTGCTAATATGGATTTTGTGTAGGGTAACATACAAAAGCTAAAAGAGGTTACAGTTGTAGTTAGATTGTATGAAAGGCTAGTTAAGGAAGGAGTAATCATATTACCACAATGCCAAGATGATGACCTTAAAGACATGATGATATGTAGGTGGCATTTCAGTTATGTTCATGTCACTAATGAGTGTTTGGATTTTAAAGGTTTCTGAACAAGAAGATCAGAACAAATGCAATAAGGATCTCAAAGCAGGAATATCAAGCGATGAACCTTGCTGAGTTATCCTTGCTCAAGATACAGATTGAAGGAAAGAAATCAAAGAATATTTGAATAATCCTTCAATAGGAAAAGTGCCAGCTAAAGTTAGATTAGCAGCTACAAAATACTTCCTCATGGGAAGTAAGCTGTATAGAAAAGATCCTCAAGGCCTTTTTACTAAGGTGTGTCAGTACCAAGAAAGTGTTAACCATTTTGTCTGAAGTACATCATGGTATATATGGGTCACATCAGATTGGGATTAAGATGAGGTGGCTAATCCATCATATGGGTTTCTATTGGCCTTCTTTCAGCCAAGATTGTTTGCAGTATGCAAAAGGTTGCAAGCAATGCCAGCGCTTTAGGCCAATAAGCAGGGCACTAGCAATAGATTTGCACCCTATAATCAATCCCTGACCCTTTAGAGGTTGGGAAATGGAAGCAATTCGGCCTATTAAACCTCCTTCTTCAGCTACAGATTACTTTACAAAGTGGATTGAAGTCCAAGCTTTTAAGAGTTTAAATTCAAGGAAAGTAATTCTATTCTTGGAAGAGAAAATATTTACAAGATCAGATATGGGATTCCTGAATCTATAACAGTGGATCAAGCTACCATGTTTACAGGACATGAATTCAATTCCTACCTCAAGGAATTCGAGATTCAAAATATCCATTATACCCCTTTCTTTGCTCAAGCCAATGGACAGGCTGAAGCCACTAACAAGGTAATCTCTAAAGGGATTGCTAAATTGGTAAATGAAAATCCCAAGAATTGGCATGTTCTTCTACACTATGCTACTTGGGCATATAGAACATCAAAGAGAGATGCAATTGGGACTACCCCCTGCTAGTTGGTGTACGGGTATGAACTAGCAGTACCAGCAGAGTTAAGCACTAAGTCTTCTATGATAGCCAAATAGATGGACATAGGCCAAGAAGATTATCAACAATCTATGTCATCGAAGGTGAAAGACTTCAAGTGCTAGTAAAGATTGAAGCCCAAAGAAACAAGTAGCAAAGTCTTATAATAAAAAGGTGAAATAAAAAATCTTTTTAGAAGGAGACTTGGTGTGGAAGATGAAACTTCCTGAACATGAATATAAAGATCATATCTTTGGAAAAAAGTCTTCTAAATAGGAAAGTCCATTCATAGTTCATAAAGTCATGTCTGGAAACTCCTATTTGGTGCAAGAGTTAGACAGGGAAATGTTTCCAAAGGCACTTAATGGAAAGTTTTTAAAATAGTACAACCCAAGCATTTGGGAACAATATAAATTTTTACAACAAAAGCATCCATCATTGGAAGCTTTTGATAAATGAAACTTAAAAATGTATTGTTTACATACGAAGTCACTTTTCAGCTATAGCTTTGCGTTTAACTTCATCTAACAAAGCCTTGCACTTGTTCATCAGAGCCATCTGATTGCCATGGTGATCAAACTGAGACAAAGATTCTTGCACTAGTGAAGCACTCTCAGATATCTGGCGCTTTAACTTCTTCTTCTCTCCTCTTCGATCAAGGAGTTTTTGTTCTACCAAAGCTCTTTAGACTCGGAGTATCTTCTCCTCCTCTATGAGATCATCAATCTCAGCTCGCAGGTGACCCATCTTCAAATCCAACTCAAGATCTTTCTTCTTTAAAAGATCTCGTTGATGGAAAACCTCAGATACTTGTTGAGAAATTTCTGAGACCATCAAAGAAGGAAAAGATGACCTTGTCTGAGCTATTTTAGCAGCACATGCCTGACAAGCGATAGACATATCCTCCCATGCAATAGGATCATTAGTCCTTAGCAGACGAACTTGGGCCATTAGTTGTAAAGATAGCTTAATTTGCATACTTGGAACTGTCTGCAATTCTACTCTCTCACAAAGAGTTAGAACTTTTTCAAGGAGTTTGACCTCTAGAGATGTAGACACTAGGGCTTAACCAATAACAAGTGTTAGTCAAAATGAAAGACTCAATAAGCATGATAACTAATAAAATTAGAATGCTTACTTTTACCTGACGCTTGATCTTTGGAAGTCTTGTTTTTCCCAACCTATGTATCATAAGGTGCCATCGCTGAAACACAACAAGGAAAATTAAATATACAGGTAAAGAGGCATGAAAAGAGGATTTGAATATTGTTACTCACCAAAGTCTGAAGATGTACTTTTCCCTGCATGAGCTTTTTCACAAAGATTTGACTTTGTAGCATTGGAAGCTTCATGAGTAGTCTGAAACTCAGAATCCCTAGCCAGTACATCTATAGTGTTGTCTTGCGCAATAACAGGGATAGAATTTTTGGTCTCTGGCTCAGTCTCATTATGAACCTCTACTGTTGAGCAACCACGGAAGGTTTTTTTGGCTCAAGCGATGGTTATGAAGCTGAGTTAGACCCAGGATTCTTTTTGCCTTGTTCAACTTCATCCTGAATATCTGCCACCTTGGATGGGACAACCACAGAAGGTTGATTTAATTCAAGCGATGGCTCTAAAGCTGGAGTTGATAGATTAGGAGCTAGGGGGCATCAGTGCTAACTTTAGCATCGACAGACCGAGTAGGCTTGTTTGTTAGATTAGAAGTAGGTTCTGCAGGCTGGTCTGAATAAAGAGAAGAAGTAAAAGTTGTTTTTAGATTAGGAACCTCAAGGTTTGATTGGCAAGGGCCTGATTGATCGCCCACACTATCTTTAGTACCTGGAGTTACAGGACCACTACCAGATGATAAGTCACTCCCCACTGGCTGATTATGTGAAGCCAAGTCAGCATCCTGACTCTTACTAGAGTTAACATTACCCTTTCTCTTCTTCTTATCAGGCCTTTGATATGTTGGAGAAAAGGGTACAGGATCATGAGGGGGTGACTTCTCTAATGACAACAAGCATGATGCATCAGTTTTCTCTAAAAGATTTGAATGGTTCTTATATCTATTAATTCTTCTTCATCACTAGGGTTGGAATAAGTGGTCTTCTTTGGAGACTTCCGTTTCCTTTTATTGTTAGGAGTCAGACTTGATATGAAGGAAGTTAGAATGAGTAACAAGATGTAAGAAGCTTGGACAAGTTAGAGCTAATGCACTTACTAGTAAGAGGGATATCAATAGTTTCTAGCTGTGATACTGTCTTTAATGCAGATTGTGCTCTTGTGCTTGGACTTGACATGGGGATGTTCCTATGCCTGTTACTCCTTGACTTTTGTAAGGAAATCGGGTTTGAAAGAGAGATCATCTTTCTCAATCCAACTCTATCAGTCTGGGAATAGATAATACTTCTGTGAGAGTCATCTATAGCAATGGGCAAATAAGAACTCTTCTGCTATCTCGAATGAACAGTCATTCTGATGTTGAGCAGTCTTGCTCTTC